AAAAAAAACGCCCATAACTTCTTCCAAAGAAATGCTTCGCAGATATGGGAAGCAGATTTGGAATCAGTGTTTCAAATTACATTTGACAGTACTTCCTCATTTTGATTTGAACTTTCGACCAAGTATGCGTCCCTTGTCAGTGCGACCACTTCAAAGATCCACAAATTTCAACAAAAAGTAAAAACAGAGGATAAATAACAACAAAAAGTGCCCTTAGATGGAGATAGCTATAGGATATATCTGCTGATTTTACATATCGTCTAATGATGGCATATCTGTAGTGTTCCTCTTGTTCTGACCTTCATGCCAGGCTTTACGGATAGTTCTCTTCATTTCATCATCTCCTTCTTCGTACATCTGCTTCATCATACTCATCAGCGATGCCTGCGGATCGTCATCCATCGACTTATCGTCGAATTTTGGTTTCCTAAATCATTACAACTAGATGCAGAGGAAAATTATTGAAATGTGAATAACTACCCTCTACCTTTTTTGTTTCTCGTCGTACTCTAACTTCGTTAGCTGTTCCCATTTCTTTCCTTCTGTCTTCTTCTTCATCATCACTAACAGCATATCCTGCTTTTGCTGCAAATAATATATATAATGGGGATTTAATGTTTACTGCAGAACAATTCGAAGAACATTCATTGCTGAATTTCTACGACTCCTCCTTTTCTCAACTTACATAGCAATTCGAAATAACTCTTCCTCAACAACATACAGACAACGTGACAGTTCTCTAAGAATGTAAAAAAAAACAATTTTGTTTCTCTTCATTAAAATAGCGCATCATAGGTGCACGTCGATCTCTCACGATGAATAGGATGTGATACAACATTTGCGAAAGTTCATTTCTTCAAGATTAAAAAAAACTTCTTTGGCTAGTGATTTGGCAAAAGACGCCTTTGTGGTTTTTTCAAATTGACGAGGCTAGAAATCACGTGAAATTCGTTTTAGAATCAGACAGATATTTAAAAATCCATGAAAATTTCGTACCAAATATTCATGTATTCATAACTGTTCTTCCCAATTAATTTTAGCTCGTTTCGACATTCAGCGTTTTTGGTGATGAACCAGGATGAACGGCTTGGGAGGATCTAGCCGGAGTTTTTTCTTACATTTCTAGCGTTTTTGGCAATACACCAGAATGGACCATGTGGGTGGAGTTAGCGAAGGATAATGAGCTGAAGAGCGCATTAATAAGGCATGTTACGTGCAGGCGCTACCCGAAAGCAAAAAATCTCATGATATCTTGTAGTCCCCATATGTACGATAATCAAAAGGGGTGGCAGCTAAGATCAAGCAGTTTATGCAACCCGCAAGCTGTTGATCGTGTGCGCTGCACATACTGGCCCGCACTTTATAGCAAAGCGCACATTAATAAA